CCCCAGCTGCACCCTCCCTGCTGGCCTGGTTGTTCCTAACTGCCCCCCCCCCCCCCCGCTGGCCTGGTCACCCCCAACTACCCCCCCCACCAGTCTAGTCACCCCCAACTGCATCCCCTCTGCCAGCCTGGTCACCCCATGCAGCCTATTGGTCAGTCGTTTGGTCATCCCTCACCAACCCCCCTGCCGGCCTGATCATAGGCAGCCATCTTGTGAGGGTGTGAGGGTTAATTTGCATATTCTTTATTATATAGGATGTGCAGTTAGATTGGAATGAATTATAGAGAACTTGTCAGAAGACTTTAGTGTAAATGTGGAAGGTAATAAGTAATCAAATATAGATGACATAATGGTGCATTTTAGAAAGATCTGGCAAGTACATTTATAGTGTAGCATTAGCATGGAATATATGATTATGCTTTTAGTCATTTTAGTTGGAATACTGTATCTCTGAGGAAAAAAAAACAAACACCAAAATGAGATTAAACTCTTTCTAAGAGCAACAAAATTTTAGGAATACCAGAATAATAGGAACCATGCATTGGATAAATGTTATTTGCCAGGAATAACAAATATATCACTTACCATTGCAGTAACCCATGCTCATAAATGGCATTGATAATTGAACATGAAACTTGTTGCTGAAGAACCTAACATGTAGTCTTGAGTTCATAGAACAACTCGGAGCAGCCGATACTAATTATCTTTGGTACTGTGTCTAAACATTCTTACAATCTCTTCTGATTATTAGGTTTAGGAGTCAGGGGAAGTGCTAATCAAGATTTCATTCAAGCCCTAACGAGTTTGGCTGAGTGGATAGAGCGTCAGCTTGCAGACTCAAGGGTCCCAGGTTCAATTCCAGTCAAGGGCATGTACCTTGGTTGTGGGCACATCCCCAGTAGGGGATGTGCAGGAGGCAGCTGATCGATGTTTCTCTCTCATTGATGTTTCTAACTATCTCCCTTCCTCTCTGTAAAAAATCAATAAAATATATATTAAAAAAAGAAAAGATTTCATTCAAGAGTTGGGCCTTGAATGATGAGTAGGCTCTCTCCAGCCTTATTTTCTTTTGCTCTCTGACATGAACTTTGGCCTGCGGCCTTAATGTTCTCCACAAGTATCCATTATAAGTTATATCTGGGTTTGTCCATGCTGATCCTCCCAATCTGGAATATTGCTCTCACCTTCCAGCCTACCTCACTAATTCCGGATTTGATTCAAAACCTCACTAATTTATGATATAGATTCCTTTTCTCTGAATTCTTTTTTTTTTAAATATATTTTATTGATTTTTTACAGAGAGGAAGGGAGAGAGATAGTTAGAAACATCGATGAGAGAGAAACATCGATCAGCTGCCTCCTGCACATCTCCTACTGGGGATATGCCCGCAACCCAGGTACATGCCCTTGACCGGAATCGAACCTGGGACCTTTCAGTCCGCAGGCCGATGCTCTATCCACTGAGCCAAACCGGTTTCGGCTTCTCTGAATTCTGATAGGTTATCCATACCACCCCTCTTCAGATCCTTTTTCTTGTTCTCTAAATGGTCTACTTCAAGTCTATAATTAGGTTATAATTTAGTAAAATGGCTATCTGACAGCCTCTTCTATTTCCCACAGTAATTACTTGATTGATTGTTGGGGAAATTTACATCATGTATCAGGAATGACTTAAATGTATCAATAAAAAAAACCCCACAAAAAACCTTAAACCCCCAAACCCAATAATATGCTGAAGACTGCACTATAAGTGAAATCTAGCTGATTTAAAATGTATTTTCCATTTTTTCAAAACTAAATTGTGTTTTGTGTGTGTGTGTGTGTGTGTGTGTGTGTGTGTGTGTGTGTGTGTGTTTACCACTTTCTTTAGTTCAACCTTTAATTTCCTCATTTAGATTATGGTCAGATCATTTTCTCCTCAATTTTGGTTCCAGACTAAGATTTTAGACTTTAGAGAGAAACCAATTTGGTGGCATAGGTAAACACCTGAAATTGCTGCCTCACACAACCACTTCAAAAATACAACTAAAAGACAAAACGGACATCATCCAGAACCACAGGAAGGTTGGCTGAGTGGAAATTCTACAACTAGAAGGGGAAAAAAAGCATGCTGAGACTCAGAGGAGCTGCGGAAGTGCAGAGGTATGGAAGCGTGTGCAGAAAGGGCTGGCAACTGAGGACGTGGTTGTCTTTTTCAATCAGGAGGGAGCCACAAGCTCCCGACGGCCCAAACTCCAGTTCCAGGTGAGTCTCTGGGGACCCAGACTCATACAGGGAGAAACTGGACTGTCTGGCAGCAGGCAGAACTCGAGGGCAGCTTTTTCTCAGAGGTGCTTGCAGGGATTACCTCAGGACACTGAGACCCAGGACCTCTTAGGGCAGGACTGAGCATCAGCCATAGCTGTTTACTCTGCCCTGTTGATTCCCTGGGTCCCCGCCCCACCCAAGCAGTGCCCAGAGGCTTTTGCATATGAATGACCTGGCCATCTGCAATCTAAAATTAACAAACTGCAGCTGGCTCAGAGAGACCCAGAACATCCAAAAGAAGGCCCAAGGCCCCACAGCAGCTTGCATTGCTTCACAGCTGGGCCTCATCTGGTCACCTCCAAATCCCAAACAAGGAAGAGGAACCTGCAGATCTCTCTGTAGCTCCTGCTGGGTAGCCTCAGGCAGAGGCTAAATTAGCACCTCCTTAGAGATCCAAGTGCCAGTGTACCCAGTGGTCAGAGTGGGACCATCCGATTACAACTCCTCAGATCCATAAGAGACACACTCGGGGCAGACTCAGTGAGCACCAAAGCCCCACTGAAGCAAGTCTTGCCCCATAAGGGTGTCTCTAGCTCAGAAGTTCTCCCACAGTAGACACAGCTGATTCTCACAGCCAATTGGCCTGAAGGTTAATTCCTCCCAGTGATGCCAACTACAATCATGGCTTAACTACAACAAGACTGTGCACAAAGCCCACAAAGGGGTGCACCAAGAGTGTCCACCTCAGGTCATTGGGGAGACTGAGCCACTGGGCCCTATAGGACACCTAGCACACAAAGCCACTCTACCAACACAGGGAAGCATAAAAAATGCGGAGACAAAGAAACAGGACAGAAATGACAGAAATGGAGGAAAGCAAACTACTGGATATAGAGTTCAAAACCATGGTTTTAAGGTTTTTCAAGAATTTTCTAGAAACCGCTGATAAATTTAGTAAGACCTTCAATAAGTCTAGTGAGACCCTCAAGGATATGAAAAAGGGCCAACTAGAAATTAAGCATACACTGAGTGAAATAAAGAATATTATACAGAGATCCAACAGCAGACTAGAGGATCCCAAGAATCAAGTCAAAGATTTGAAGTACGAAGAGTAAAAAACACCCAACCGGAAAAGCAAAAAGAAAAAGAATCCCAAAATATGAAGATAGTGTAAGGAGCCTCTGGGACAACTTCAAGCATACCAACATCTGAATTATGGGGGTGCCAGAAGAAGAGAGAGAGCAAGATATTGAAAACCTATTTGAAGACATAATGACAGAAAACTTCCCCTACCTGGTGAAAGAAATAGACTTCCAAGTCCAGGAAGCACAGAGAACCCAAAACAAAAGGAATCCAAAGAGGACCACACCAAGACACATCATAATTAAAATGCCAAGAGCAAAAGACAAAGAGAGAATCTTAAAAGCAGCAAGAGAAAGAAACTCAGTTACCTACAAGGGAGTACCCATATGATTGTCAGCTGATTTCTCAACAGAAACTATGCAGGCCAGAAGGGAGTGGCAAGAAATATTCAAAGTGATGAACAATGAGGACCTACACCCAAGATTACTCTATCCAGCAAAACTATCATTCAGAATTGAAGGTCAGGAGCTCCAGTGGCGCAATCGGTTAGCGCGCGGTACTTATACAGAATTGAAGGTCAGATAAAGAGCTTCACAGATAATAAAAAGCTAAAGGAGTTCATCACCACCAAACCAGTATTATATGAAATGCTGAAAGGTATCCTTTAAGAAGAGGAAGAAGAAAAAGGTAAAGATAAAAATTATGAACAACAAATACATATCTATCAACAAGTGAATCTAAAAATCAAGTGAATAAATAATCTGATGAACAGAATGAACTGGTGATTATAATAGAATCGGGCATAGAAAGGGAGTGGACTGACAATTCTTGGGGGGAAACGGGTGTGGGGGGTGCTGGAAGAGACTGGACAAAAATCATACACCTATGGATGAGAACAGTGGGGGAGGGGGGGTGACGACAGAGGGAGGGGTGGGAACTGGGTGGAGGGGAGCTATGGGGGGAAAAAAGAGAAACAACTGTAATCTGAACAATAAAGATTTAATTAAAAAATTTTAGACTTTAATGCCTAAATTTCTTCTTGCCTAAAAGATGAGTACTATTTAAGATGCTTTTTATTTTATAAAAGCGAGGGAGGGCCTAAAATACCTATGTAACCCTTTCAATGAGACCTATGGAGTTTTTGGAACCAGTTTAGCCCTTATTATTGCTCACGCAATAATAGTTAATAAATCCACAAGTTTCCATTTGTATCATCTGGTTTACAGAATGACAAGTTGGGAAATTTTTTAAATCGCAACGTTTTCGGGGGCGGGCATGAGGAAAGTGGGGGCATGAGTAATGGCAGTCTTGAGTGACCCTACTTTCCTCATTCCAGTCCCCTTCTCTCACTGCCCAAGTTTCTGGCAGCAACAGTGTTAAGAAGCCTTAATTTAATGCTTAATTCAATCCTCCAGTACTGAGAAAAGAAGGAAGAGAGAAGTTTTTGTGAGGAGCGTTGTCCTAGAGATATTTTTGTAGAGGCATTTTAAAAATGCTTCTGGCGGCTGTTGCAGATTTGTGTTTTCTTTTCCCTTTAAAACCTCGGGGGCGGAGGCAAGCGCCTGAATGCGTGGAGGGCTCCGCAGCCCTGTCCGTCAAGAGAAAGGTCCGGGGTCTCAAGTCCCTTTCCCCGCCCACCCAGCAGCCTAGCCGCGCATGCGCGGAGCCGCCGGGTTGGGTAGTTGTCGGCCGGGAAATGGCGGCCGCGGGCTTGGTCGCTGTGTCCGCAGCTGCAGAACATTCTGGCCCCGTAGCGTCGGGAGGCAACCTCTCTGGTGTTAACTGCGGCCCAAGCGCCGGGACAGGTCCCGGTCCTGGCCCGGGCTCGTGGAGCCGTTCCCTCGATCGAGCGCTGGAGGAGGCGGCAATAACCGGGGTGCTGATCCTGAGCGGCCGGAAACTGAGGGAGTTTCCCCGGGGAGCGGCCAACCACGACCTGACGGACACCACCCGGGCGGGTGAGCGGGGCGGGAGGCATTCCTGCCGACGGGAGGCCCTGGGCGCGGCGGGAGCCGCCCCGGCCGGTGGGAGGACTGGAGGGTAGTCACAGCCTCGGGACTCGGGACCCGGGTAACGGGGGGAAGGCGCCTGCCCCAGCCCACCCGGTTCCCCTCCTGCCAGCCCCGAGCTCGGGGCGAGGCGGACAGCGGCGTCCCCGGGGAAGACCGCAGGGGACTGGCGGGCGGTGGTCTCCTCTCCTAGAAAGTTACCGTCGGCCGCTGCCGAGATAGCCGCGCGCCCCGCCCGGTCTCTGCAGGCCGAGCGGACCGGGAGTCCACTAGGAAACCGACTTGCCAGATTGGGCTGTAGCGCGCTTACTCAGACCACAGTCGGTGCGTTATCCGAATCTCCCATCTCGGCGCTGGCGTTCCTTGGAGTTGTTTTTCGTGTGAACCCGGACGCGGTAACTGTGCTTTATCTCGTTGAGTGACCAAATGTACTTGTAAGAATAACTCGAGCCCACTTCACACTCCCACTACTTCTGCCCCACTGTCCTCATGCCCGCCCCCGGAAACGCTGAAAGAAGAAAACTACTTTGAAAAGATACATAGGTTGCCTACCATCTCTGTATTTAATGCGTTTCAAAAACAAGCATTATTTTGCTTTATACATACTTTTGAACACAGGAAAGATAATAAGGAATTAGGTTTTCATAGTTGGAGAGAACAGTGTCTGGAGACTGAAGTGTTCACCACATTATTCTTCTCTTGTGTTTAAAGTATAACTTCCTCAGGGGGTAGATTAAAAACAGTCTATTCATGTTTTGCACAAATACAAAGGAGAAAAAAAATCACCCAGTTTGTATAGAATGGTGTAGTTAAATATTTTATTTTCATATAGTGTTTTGCGACCGAAGAATGTGTCACGTTTATTCCATTTTATTTACCTTATTTTATTTATCTTTATTTTAAAATCTCCAGTTCAACACCTTCCTATGTCTGTACACTCATTAAAGACTGATAAGTATTGCATATGATTCACTCATGTTAGAAAAATAAACAGAATGTTAAACTACTTCAGGAAACTTCTTTCCAAAGAAACTTTTGCTCTAGTGTAAAATAGAAGAAATTAAATGTCTACTTATCTAATCTCTTTCTGGAAATAGTTGTACTGAATATAGTTTGTATTTTTTAGTGAATGACACTAAAGTTAAACTATTGCTAAGGTTAATATGAACAGCCACTTGCCTTTTGCATGTGTTCTGATTGATAACATCTGAAATTATCATGTGTATCCCATATCTGATTCTGTTCAGGAGATGGTTAGCATAGTGATTTCATATTGGTGTGAGTCATTTCATATTACTACATTAAGCCTGAAGCTAAAGAACAAGTTCATTACAGGAGTTTGTCTAGTTCATTACCTTACTTGCTTTTAAATAATTGTAAGACCAAAGTGTTTTTGCCTTTAGAAAATATTTAAACTAACAAAGAAAACCCAAGAGTATTTATGAAGACCAATAAATAATCCCAGTGAATTTTTCTTTGTGCCCTGAATTTTTAATTTATCATTATCCATATTTATTTTATTATTTTAATAGTTTATATATAAACCACAATTTTTGATGGTTGACATTTATCTGGTCAAAAAGTCTAAAAAAGGGAAAAAAGATAAAAAGGGGGGAAAAAAGACTGCAGGGTATTTTCTAACCTGTTAGGCTAAATTCATTTTAATAAGGTAGAAATACCACTTATTAAGTATAAGAAAGCTTTGGTAGACCTTGTACAAAAACACTGAATTATTCTTTTCAATCAGATAGTTCGATGTGGATAAACATTTATTGCGTTTTCAGTGCTATTCAGTGTGTTAGGTGTTTTAAAATACATTGCCTTGTTAAATGCTTAACAACCAGTGGATTAAATATTATTGCATACGAGCGATTACTCAGCATTTACAGATGAGGAATCAATCAGAGAAAGTCATATAACTAGTATTAGTGGTAGAATTTCAGCCTAGGTCCATCTAATTCTTTCCTCTTTATTACATAGCCTCCTTATGTACAGACAGGTGTTACCATTCCAGTTTTTACAGGTAATGAAACCAAGATTTGGAGAGAGAAGATAATTTGCCCAAAGATCTGTAGCTAAAGGCCAGGAGAGGTGATATTAGCCAGGATTTGAGCCTAGTTTGAGATAACTCCAAAACCATAGTCTGTTAAAACAGCTACTTAGATGAAGTCAGACCCAACCTATTAGCTAAAGTGTTTTGTTTAGATCAGGGGTCCTCAAACTACGGCCCGCGGACCACATGCAAATACAAATATTGTATTTGTTCCCATTTTGTTTTTTTACTTCAAAATAAGATATGTGCAGTGTGCATAGGAATTTGTTCATAGTTGTTGTTTTTTAAACTATAGTCCGGCCCTCCAACAGTCTGAGGGACAGTGAACTGGCCCCCTGTTTAAAAAGTTTGAGGACCTCTGGTTTAGATCCTATAGGAAATTTAAAGCCAAGAAAATTATTTTAATACTGCCACACAGTTGTTTGATAATATAGGGTGTCCGAAAATTCACACAAGAAGTAATTTTGATAGAAAACACAGGTTTATAATTAAAAATTGTAAATTTTTTATTGAATTGTATAGTATATAGTATAAGGTTATGTATGGAATAGCACATCGGGTAAATGGCCTCCACGGCTTTGCTGGCACATACGCAAAGCCGTGGTCTTCATTGATCTTCATTGTCCCTGCTCCTGGGCCATAATTGGTACTTGGTAATGCTTATCAAATTGAATGGATTGAAATCAAAGGGCAACAGATATTAGAATCTAATTCAATAAACCAAGTAAAATTAGGCTTTTATTTTGTTGTTGTTGTTGTTAATGCTCACGCAAAATTCAAATCTTGCATGAATTTTGGGACACCCAATATATAGAATGTATCTGGTAGAGCTGCTGTCCTTCAAGAGCTTTTTTTTTTTTTTTTTAAAAATATATTTTATTGATTTTTTACAGAGAGGAAGGGAGAGAGATAGAGAGTTAGAAACATCGATGAGAGAGAAATATCGATCAGCTGCCTCCTGCACATCTCCCACTGGGGATGTGCCCGCAACCCAGGTACATGCCCTTGACCGGAATCGAACCTGGGACCTTTCAGTCCGCAGGCCGACGCTCTATCCACTGAGCCAAACCGGTTTCGGCCTTCAAGAGTTTTTATCCTAAGAAACAGCACATATTACCCATACCATTTATAATTAGACATGATTAGAATTCATCATGGGACCTTTTCTGGAGGTTTACCCCTCCTGTTTATTTAAAAAGGAAGAGCTTTAGAAAAAGGGAGATCTTTACTTGGAATGAGTGACTTGATTCAGTAAACGAGGAAAATCACAGAAGACTTTTGGGGGCAGAAATGACGTAGCTTAGATTTGGGTAGACAGAAATGAGAAAGATAGCCTTTCCAGGCACTGGTGGACATGCAAAAAGTCTTAGAGTATAGGGCACATCAGTTAATTTTGCCAGGCTGTCATTCATTCCCCTTTCCTCTGATAATAATACTGTACTCCAATTTTCCTAGGGAACCACCCCTCTCAGTTACATAGATCCCACCCTGACACAAGGGTGTGCACTTGGCTCAGGCCTAGCCAATCAGTGTTGTCCATTCCTCTGTTCACAGTGATTATTCAAAGAAGGGCATCTTTTCCAGTCAGCATGAGTGTTAATTCAGAATTTTTTATTCAAACTGTTGAGAAAGAGCCATGCTTTAAAGCCTGTGGATGCTGCGAGAATAGAATGTGATCCTGGAACTTGCCAATAAGTGGAAAGCAGAGCCAAAAGATGGTTCTGATGATAGTGTTTGTATCTTTGGATCTGTATGAATCTTTGGATCAGAGAATATAAGACCTATCTTTCGTGCATGCAGTAGCTAGATTGATGATAGGTTTGGAGTGAGGCTAGTCAATATTCATTTATTCAGCAAACATAGACTAAGGGATTTTGTCAGGTGTAGATGTGCAGAGAAGGATCAAGACATTTCCTGTGCTCAAAGATTTAAGGGATCAGTGGAGGAATAAATAAATAGATATAAAGATTACATGAGTTATCTAATAATAGTGAAACTTTTATGTATTAGGCATTATGGTAGGTAATATAGGGGAAATAAAAATAAGAAGAGGTTCTACCCTTTAAACATAAAATCTAGGAATCTGATTAGATGTCTGTGATGATAATCCTAATCTATGTGAGAATGAAAACCAGACCATGTCAGAAAATAGGCCCGGCCAGCGTGGCTCAGTGGCTGAGCATGGACCTACGGGCCAGGCGGTCATGGTTCGATTCCGGGTTAGGCCATATACCTGGGTTGTGGGCTCAGCCCCCAGTGAGGGGCATGCAGGAAGCAGCTGATCAGTGATTCTCTCTCAGCATTGATGTTTCTCTCTCTCTCCCTTTCCCTTCCTCTCTGAAACCAATAAAAAAATTTTTTTAAAAAAGGAAAGAAAAATATACAAATGCTGATTAAATTGATTTTTTTTTTTTTAAAAAAAAGACAGAATCTGTCAAAGATTACTGAGCTATTTAGAACCTGGAGGACTAGGAAACATGGTAATGCTACTGATAATAACAGTAGCTAACATTTATTGAGCTATTAGCATGTTCCAGGTATTATACTAAGCTGTATATGTAAAACATGCACATATAACAACCATATGAATTATAAGTACTGTTTTAACCCTATTTTACACATAAAAAATGGAGACAAGATTAATCTGATCAAGGTTATTATTCTCAGCTAATAACTGGCAGAGCTGGGATTCAAATTCACGTACATCTGATCCTAAAACTTGTTTTTTATCACAAGCCATACTGACAAAGAAGTTTGGTACACATACACATAATTTATTTGTTTTGCATGATACCTTTAAAGGGCTGGTGGTAGTACATCTAGTTAATCATGTACAACAAATAAAAATTTAAATGTGGAGTTTTAAAGTTAGGGCTCCAGCATAAATTTGAGAAAG